ACCCAAGTATTCGGAGAGATAGCTGATCATAAGATGTCTTCATCGTTTCTCGATAAACATTAAGACTTTTCACCCTGTTGCAAGGTTAGTTTATTGTGTGGCTAACGTACTTAACGGTACAGTGCTCCTAACAGTTAAGTCATGAAGTGTGCCGGTTTTTCGATGTGTCCATAAGTCGTTTCCATTCGTAAACAAGAAAAACATTTCACATCGCTTTGCGTGCGTGTAATTGCTCTTTCCGTTTTAAAGGCAAACCCCGTTGAACGATGGGTGAACACAATATTTTTTCGGTTATCCAACAAGATGGAAATAAGTGGCCGAGTATTGTTAAGTTTAGCCAAGCCAACTGCGCGAAATTATTTACACGTGGACTGAATGAACTTGTATGACAATTGCGATCCGGTATTGCGTCGACTTAGCTTGTAATATTTTTAAGACCCCAAATTTAAAAGGTTATTAGTTAAATACGCATTCGTTACATTTAAGGGACCCTCGCCTTATCTGTCCAGTAACTTCACTAAAAGTGTCTCCATCTTACAAATATTTTTGTAAGTTCAGGCGCTATATAGTTACGCTGCTCTTCTAACATGATTTCAATCACTCTCGTCAGGTGTCATCAGGATAAATCATTACGCGACTGCAAAGAAACAATTCTTGGACGTTCCTATTTGGTTAGCATGCGTGGTTACTAGCTGCAATTGAATTGTGCGGTGCTCCGACCAAGGACGTATGATTTTGAAGAAGAATTGACATTTGACGAAAGTTTTAAAATATTCCGCTCGCTCGAGCAATTCAAGACCTGCACTAGCTGTCGTAGTTCCTTAACGCTTGCTTGGCAAAAGCAGATCACTACCGAAATTCCGTTTGGCAAAACAAATGGTTCACAAACCACGGACTCTCGATTGCAAAACAACAGACTCAGTAAATCTTATACAAAAACCTTGCATTTCGTGCGCAATAATACGAAAATGAACGGCGAATTTACGTCAATCCTGGTACAGCTTTTTCACATGTCGTAACACAACGGTAGTTCACGTGGATCGAAAGCGGGAAAAATTAATTGGAAAAATGATGGCTGCTCTTTTCTTCACGAATCACGACAAAGAAAAAAGCTAAACACAGTTTATGACTATGGTAGGAGAACATGCTTGAAAAAAACATTACTTCTTTCAAGATAAGCAACATCGGTGAGGATCACTACTTTTGCTCGCTGTAGAGTGAGTGATATTTCGTTCAATGTAATTTTTTCCATAAACAACCAGCTGGAAGGTTGAACATTATGTTTACTTAATTGAGAATAGTCATGGGGTTCCAGATGTTAATTTGTGGACGATTATTTTACCCCTATTGGTCTACTATATTAAAGTTTATGACAGCCAACGTCAAAAGAGTATTAGAATATGAGTCGTTGAATGGGTTTGTATTATTCCGTGAAAGGATGAATGGATGATGAAGTCATGAATATATGAAAATCATATATCAGAACTGAACCAATTCAATGATCTGCTCCCAGTTGGCTCGTTGGCTCAACTGGTAGAGCGCTTCACCGGTATCGTAGAGGTCAAAGGGTGTAGCGTTGCAGTTGTGTCCTCTGTTGCAGTTTGGTCCTCTCACGTATCAACCAACAGAATGGCGTGTTATTTCTTCCAAAGTGCGTTGTGATCGTGTCTTCTTCATGTGACTTCCCAGCTAGGGGAGGGCTACCCTGGGTTCCAGAGGATATTTTTTTCTTATCGATACTGATGGTTCGCGGCGAAGCCGCGTTAACGAGGCGCAAAGCGCCGAGGAGAAAAAAATATTTTTTTTCTCCTCGGCGCCTTTTTTTGCGTTAACGCGGCTTCAGTATCGATAAGAAAAAAATATCCTCTGGAACCCAGGGTAGGGGAGGGCTGTAGTATGACTTTTGTTCGTTTCGATTTCCTTAACCTGAGATCAGGCTCTATTTTCCTTTCGCTTTGAAAATAACATTCTGGCGGACAAGGCGAAACGAACGTAGAGCCTCATACAAACCTTCTACGAAACGTCTTCAGCCACTTTTTTGATTGATTGACATTTGCCGAATCAGCCAACCAAACTACTTCCGTTCCTTGTTTTTTTAGTATGCAAATTTTTCATACGTGGGAAAAATGCAGACTCGCTGTCTTGAAAAATAGCTTTTATCTTTTAATTTTTTCAACTAAAAATAAAACAGTCAGCGCAATCACATTTAACTTCTTGCGACATTACATGTAAAGGAGATCTCGGAGGTTATTTCTGTTAGCGTAGAAGGTAAAAAGTTTTCGAAAAGACGGCGACACGATGGTTTAGTTTTATGTTTTGGATGGGAGCGCTCGAATTAAAAATACTGAAATATCTATTTGTCTGTTGCCTTAATATTTTCCTCGGACATTTTCCCCGATTTTCAGTACATAAATCTTTAAAGATCTTGGAGAAATATATGGCAAACTTTTTCAAAGGATATATAAATTATCTCAGAACAAACCAAACGAGTTCTCAAGTGCATTTAATGTAGCTGATTTACTCCCGTGCGTACCCTTGCACTTTGCGAATTTACTAGAGAAACAAACGTCTAAAAAAAAAACATTTTTTTTATATAAATCCAGTTAAATATTATCTGCCACTTTGGAAAAACGAACGGACACTTCTAAAACTGCATGCTCAACTGACCTATAAACAAAACGAAAAACAATATTACAAACACACTTTGTAGTTCTCCTTAGTTGTGTTGTTGCAGGTCTAAAAACTTGGCTTGCTAAATTAACAATCAGCAAACAGCTAAACGACCGAGGACACCAGTTTTCCTGGTTTGTTTTTCACAAAAAGCGAAGGCAAAAAACAAGTCTGTTACCGTAACACTAGCGCCACCAGCTTTTATGATAATGCCTACAAAAATTCCTTGAACAGCGATGCGATGTTTTTCGTCTAACACTTGACAGCTGGCGATTGAGGTTTCTTTCGCAATGCGCCTCCGCTTGCGTACCCCGTTCAGAAAAGTCATTCCCGGCTAAACTTTCAACTGAAACCACTTTTAAGATGGACAGTATTTTTGTTGGTAAATCAAAAAGCACCTCATTAGCCGTCAACAACTTAGAGAGGGATTCAACTCCGCGATACACTCACATTAGTTCAGCAAGGGAAAGTTCATTTAGTATGACAAGCGGGGGGGATGAAGATATTGAAACTCGAAGCTTGAAATTTTAGCAGCCCCCCTCGCTAGCGGTTCAATTTTTTAGGAGCCCCCTCCTCGGTAGTCGAAAAAATTTCAGAGCCCCCCCCCCCCTCCTCCTTCAATTCCTTTGCTCCCCTGAAAAAAGATCGCTAGACTGTGTTAAATATATTTACCGTTATTGTCTTCAATGGTTTATACTATGACAAACTTGAGATATCTTCATCCCCCCCCCTTGTCATATTAAATGAACTTTCCCTAAATAAAGCAAATCCAGCGAAAATATGAACAACCATATGAATTTTCTGAATTTCCATGGTACATATGAAGGCATATTTTCCTACCATAAGACCATAAAACAATAAAAAAGACAGCAAAATCGACCTTCGTCTCCGCCGACGGCGGATCATTAGGGACTTTAAGATCTGGGACGCGACGACTTCTAGAACGCGGTGTCTGATAAAGGACTGGACCTGTAGAACGCCGTCGTTTGCGCGCGAAAAGTAAAGTTAAGATCTCCGTCGCGATGCAAGACGACGCGGCTACAAACCGCTCTTTATCAATGTGATTCTTCGGCAATATTCTTTCGCAGAAATAGCCATGGCATCATTTAAGAAAGTCCAAGAAATGCTTTGTTTGTGCTTTGTTCGATTGCATCACCTCCACTTCTTCGTTGACGCTTCGGTTTGTCATCGCTTTCATCCGCTGATGAACCTCTTTTCTTCGTCTCTGACAGCTTCTCCATCGCTTTTAGTCTAAAATCTTCCGCTTTAGCCCGATCGTATTGACGTTTTTTGCTAGCTGTTCCCTGTGTTTCCTGTAATTCCGCTTCGCCACTTTCCTCCAACGCGATGATCATATCCAATAGGTTTTCTAGTTCTGTTGGCTCATCGGGAGTCATCCCAGTTGCTTTTTCTCCACTAGAAGTTTCTTCTTATGCTTGTAAACAAGGATTCCCACGTGGTCTCGGACTGATCGCTTATCAACCCTGAATTTCGGCACAGTGAATTTGTTCAAGGTGTCTGCTATTTTTTCCCACATTCTGCTTCTTTGTGTTGACCCTTTCTTAGTTGTGTGGGGATTTACATTGACGACTTCTCTGCGTAGAATGGCTTCATGATCATGAATCCAAAACATTACTGAACTAAAGGGAAGCATAAAAACACACGCAGTTTAATAAAATTAAATTAAATAATACAGGCTTAAAATTAGCTTTTAGCTGCAGATTAACGCAATAAATCGAGAATTGCAACGGTACAAGAGACGAGAAGAGTATGCAGAAGACTCCTGCATTCACTATTTGCAGTTTTAACTCGTGAATTACTTGCACGCCTCGCTCGAAGTCAAAGTCGAAGGCGCTGCCATTTTATAAGCTTCGTACACCCGAAAGAAATTTGAAAATAATCAAAATCCTTCCATCTCCGCGATCTAAAATGTCGCCAGAAATTACGTCCAATGATCCTAGAAGGCTGATTTTACATGTTTAGAGGAATATATCATCATTTAATTTAAGCACAGGAACAAATATACTCACGTTTTGTACAGGACGTCAGACACGCAAAACCCACGTTCTCGACGCGACGTGGTGACACCAGGATAACGGCTTGAGCATGCGCAACATGTCTCCTCTTTGAAAATTTACTTCCTGTCGCGTTTTACAGCCATCGCGTCTCGGATCTTAAAGTCCCTATTCACGAAAACAACCACGCGAGGAAGAAGCGCTTTCAACTTCCGGCGTTTCCGACAGCCAATCAGATCTTGTAGCATTGTTATAACAGCCAATCAGCGTTACGGCCAAAATCTGGCCCTAACGAGCAGCCGTTAGAGAGAATGTATGAGAACCGCTGAAATTGGGCCTTATCTCATGTGTATGAAGCAGTTTTTGGAAGCGTTTTCCCCGATGGGTTTTTGGAGAATTTTACAGAAGTTTGAAGTATGTTCGAAACTTTCCTCGGTCAACGCATATGTTCATATGTTGGAGAGCTAGAAAGCCTGGGACAAGGATGAAAGCACAAGTGCCCAAATAAAGAGTTCGAAGAAGGACAGAAACAAGAAGATCCAGAAGAAGATTCGAAGTGATGCAATGATTTTTGAGTTTCTGAGGTAAGGTGTTCAACGGGCGCGATCCATTCAACCAAAATTCCAACCGGTCCGACCGGAAAAAGTGGTCCACCTCAAAAGGTGGACCAGTTTTTTCGAAACTTTTCCGGTTGGACCGAACCGATCCATTGAGTTTTGGACCGAAATTTCCGGAAGTTTTGGTTTAATGGATCGCGCCCGTTATTTGCAGTTCTTTCAAAAGGCTTTTTTATATAAAGGATTAGAGTCATAGTACAGATGAGCTCAAGCTAAGCTAGGCTAGCTGTTTTTATAGATCTTGGAAGTTGTGAGCTTTTTTGATTTTGCTGCAAATGGTAAGTTAACTTACCGAACCGGGCATGTAAAAAATGACCGTAACAAGACAAAAAAATGAAGCATTGTTCATGGGGATTTTGAAGCCTTCCTTTAGAAAATAATTTATAAACACTTGATTTTAGAAAATGAGAACCTGTATATTTGTATGAGGGCCCTCAAATTAGCAAATTTAGGGATTAGTGCAGTCATTCAGGCAGCCGACTGCATGACTCCCTGAAAGTGTCTAACTATGTGGAAATTCATTGTGGATGTATTGTGCTTTTGATTAGGAAGATGACGCTGTTAGACGTTTTTGGATCAAAATTCTGCAAGAAATGTGAGTGCAGTTTAGCCTAATTTCAATTTTTTATTCGGTCAACTCTCTAAGATAGACACCTCTGAGATCAGAAAAAAAAGGGGTCTGTCTTAAAGGAGCTGGGTCACGAAATTCAGCCAAATTAGGAAACTACAAAATGCTCGTTAAAACTTTAAAGGAAGGTTAATATAACGTAACAGAAACAACAGATGCCACGGATGGGCACAACTGAAGAAGATTGAAACGGATTGAAATTAGGGTTTTTGAAAACTGTTCAGCCTAACAGTTTTTCAAAGTTGATCCCTGCTGCTTGCAACTTCAAAAATAATGCTCAGGAGACATATTTGTTTGTCACGGATCTCTGAATTTGTCATTTACATGTAATTTCTTTGCTTACTTTAAGTTCTATAGCGATTGAGGGGAGTGATTGGCAAAATTAAACAAAATGAACTGGACTGCCGTGACACAGCCCCTTTAAAGAGATGTCTGGGAGTAAAGCAGAGCAGGGACCAGCTCTAGGTGTCCAATTTATGGTGTAGAGAGATGTCTGTTAAGGGATTTTGTATTTTAAAATAAAGCATGAGTGCTACAGTAGTCTTACAATATTGTAGAAAGAGGCCTTTTTGTGGGTGTGAGGGTACATATGTCCCTATTCAATTTACTGAATTGACTGAATTTTTTGCATTTTTGCATAACTTTCAGTATTCAGCCCATCGTTAATTGTGTTTGATATCATTTAGTCTTCTGTTGCTGTTTCAAGGCGAGGTTGCTTATCAAAATTTTACCCTATCAGAGCCTCTAGAAGGTGGGCTATTCCAATATTACAGGTAAAATGTTAACCTACAAAGAAATACTGATACCAGTGGGGTTAATGTTTTCATACTCACACATTGAATACGTTAGGCCCGCTTAAGGCAGCACACAGAAACTTTTGGTATACAGCTAAACCCCATGACTCAGAACCTGGATTTTAAGAGCCTGTTAGGCCGAAAATGAGCCAGTTAAGGCCCCCCTATATAAGAACCTGTTTAGCCTAAAATTTGAAACAGGTTCTTATCTTCTAAAATCTATGGAAAAAATTCTGTACACTTAGGTAAATATCAGATTAGTCAACATTCAGAATGCTCTTTGGAGACATAGGTGCCTTGTCACTCCAACTGAAATTTATATGCCAATGACGTCAATGCTTTAGTTCCTCTTTTTAATTTATAGTCATTTTTACATAACTTCTAATTTGGTATGCAGTTTTTTTTTCCTGGGAGAGGGTGTCTGTACAAAGTGTCAAGGCCACCACATTGTCACTGCATGAGCATTGTGTGACATAGCATCTCATGTAAGAGTTAAACAAACTTATCTGAACATTGTACCCTTTTGAAAGACTTTTGTAACAAGAAAAATGAGTACCATTTTTAAATCGGGGCTGTAACTTTTCAAATTCCACCATTATGAATAAAAGAAAGTAAGTAAGCCATTCTAAGCAGGAAACAATAAGTGTTATTTTCACGCACCCCTCCTCCAATCCTTCTGCCCCCCAAAATAAAGTGTTACAGTATTACGTGACTGATTTGACCTAACCAGAAATTCCAAAAATATTGTCGTTCTACAGGTCATAAAACGCCGTTAACAAGCAGTACATTTCTCAATTCTGGTTCTTAAAACTAACAAGGCAAATTAAATTTAAGTTTCATTTTTGTCTGATATTGCATTTAAAGCCTTTCTTTCTTTCTTTCTTTCTTTCTTCCTTTCTTTTATAGGCAGTGTGAAAAGAGGCAAATAAAAAGAACTTTGATCCATTATGTAGTTTCAGGTTGATTATCAAACTATTATTAAAATAATGAAGCAGCTGTGCATGCTGAAGACCTTACACAAAATAATGTACTCATACAGTGTATAACAAAAATCTACACTGCTTGGTTTGGTCTGTTTTATGAAGAATAGTGCACTGCGAGGGTACCACATTTTAGCTGAATTATATATGCTAAAATGTAGATTTTTCAATAGGTGAGTTAGATAGAATTCACTCTCCCTCCCTGGTTAAATATCCAGTATTAAATACCTTTATTATTCTCAGCTTTTTTTTTCTGCAAAAATTTGTCATTTTTTTTTTTCTGTAACCTAGCCTCCCTCACAGTATTTGTAGGGGAATTGTACAGTATATCCTCCCTTCCCACAAAATGTCTGCTTAACCGACATCAACATTTCTAATTTCCATGTGGTACATGTAACCAATCAACAGTGAGAGGTATTATCTTTAATTTTTCCAAACTTCTGCCTTAAGAGCTGTGGGCACTGTGTAGTGAGTAAAAAGCAATTTATTACTCTGCTAAGTGTGACAAACTCCTTTGTTCAACTTTAATTTTTTATGTTTCCTTTCTTTAAAGTGGAATTATATTAACAGGAATTCTGCCAAATTTCATCAGATTCTAATGAGTAGATTTTGATATTTTGTCATTTGTTAACATAGCCTATGAAAGTCAACAAGAGTATATGTACAATATGCCCAAAACTTGTGCAAGCACTGAGATCACCATGTGATATGAGAAAGTGATGAAAACTGAATAAATTTGTTCTGACAATTTCTGGGCATTTTTCGCAGCTGGCCCTCAATTTTTTTCTTGAAAATCCCATTAGCTTCAATGTTCTCTTGATAAAGATGTATCAGGGAGTCTTTTAGTGGATGCAGCTTTATGTAATAGAAAGTGCATGTGTTCAACTTCCTGTACTAAAAGCTTCAAAAAACTCTAACAAATTGGGAAAAAAATAATAGAATCCATCAGTAAGGAGATCTGTGCAATTCACTAAGAATAAAGTTGTTGAGATTGGACGGGGAAACATACAATTCACAAGACAAAGCAACCTTCAACGGCAAAGTCTTGACACATGGGCTTCTTATACTTCTTAATATAATACTGTTCAGAATGAAATGCAGACTTCTGCCAATTGCTGCTTTGTCCTGATAGCACAAACTCACATCTTGTCAATGATTATTTATTGTGAGGATATCTTTGTTCATTTGTATACTACTGTACACACTCTCTGTAACTGTATAGATACATGTAATAACAGTTCTCTTGTCCATGAATTTTAGAATGTTAATTTGAATAAAAAAAACAGTTCTTGAGTTATATTTTCTTTTTATTTTCATTTTTTGTACAGGCATGAACGAAACCAGGGATTAAAAGAAGCAAACAAAGTCTTGGATTGGCTGGTAAGCTTCATTCATATGTATTTTCCCTGTAATGCTCTAATGGTTAAATAATTTATTGTTCTTTGTTTAAATGTTGCCTTTTTTTATGCAGGGCTCGAAATTCACGGTAACCCGTTAACCAACGGTTAGTAATTTTCAACGTTTGGTTACTAAAGATGTGTCCAACTAACCTGACATGGTTAGTAAAAATTTTCTTAAATATTTAAATTATGTTATGGAAATAACCTTTTTACAAGTAAATGTTTTTAGGAACGATTTTTGTGTTGTTTTCTTGCATAAGATTGTTTTCTGTGTCAACAATTTGTTCTCGCCATCTTTGCGATCAAATCGAACTTTTCAGACCTTTTGAGCGCTAAGGTCCTGGAGACGAGTTTGTGTCGAATGTGGGGATCTGGACACTACAATATCGGATACGCCATCTTTGCTTCGAAATTACTGTTTGCGAGGTTAACTGGCAGTTTGGCATTGAATTATGCAGAGTTCTTTGGATAGATTTATTAGAAATAGGCAGGCTCCAGCTGAAAGTAACTGCGGTGAAGAAGAAGAATGTCAAGAAAAGGAACCAAAGACAACAGAAGATATGGAAGACTCGAGCTCCCGGAAGCGTTACGAAGAAAAGAGGAAACAAGAGGGCCAATCATTTCGACAGGAGTGGAAGAAAACATTTGCGTCGCTTCAGTTCGACGAGACTAAGGTCACCATGCAATTTCGACTACTTTTTAATTTGTTCTAGTGGTTATTGACAAAATGTTCAATATTTGAGATTTCAAGATTGTCAAGATTTTTTAGTTGTGAGCTTGGATACCAAACTTTATAATTTGGTTAGTAAAAAACATGTCTACTAACCCAAAGGGTTAGTGATCCAAAAATTAAATTCGAGCCCTGTTTTATGGTGTGCATGAAAAATGCATTAGCAAAGAATAGTAACTACTAGATAAAGTTATGGTAAGATGATTTATCACTCAAAATCTTGTGCCAGCCTAGTGAAACATCTTGGTGGCTGTTGATTGGGTTCGAGAAGTATTTAGAAGTTGTGCAAAATTTCCATCTGATCACATACAACAAAGAAGGTCTACCAGGAAAAAAATTATGCATTTTTTCTGGAGACTGACTTTTCACAGAGGACACTTGCTGTCATTAAATTCTCAACAACATCAAAACTCTCAGAGACTCTGCACAATTTTATGATTAGTGTAACAATAGCAGTCTCAAACGCTTAATAAGGACAAACTCATCTGGACGAGGTTGACAGCTTCAAATATCTGGGCGCAATCGTCACAGATCAGAGTTCCAAGCCTGAAGTACTGTCCAGAATTGCACAGACAACAGCAGCACTAGCGAGGCTGAAGACCATCTGGAGTGATAAGTATATCTCTCTAAGCTCAAAGATCAGACTAATGCGCTCCCTAGTTATCTCTGTACTATTATACGCCTGCGAAACCTGGACATTGACAGCGGACATCCTGAAGAAATTGCAGGCCACTGAGTTGAGATGCTTTCGGAAACTGCTTGGCATCTCATACAGAGATCACGTCACTAACGATGCAGTCAGAGAAAGAATCAGGCAAGCCATTCGGCCCTATGATGATATCTTAACCACTGTAAAGAAACGCAAGTTAAAGTGGTTTGGGCATGTATCAAGATCAGTACATTACTACAAAGCCTTCGGTTGGGTCACTCTCACTGAAGTACTTGAGCACGGGCACTTTGGAGACAGCATCTTTTATCTTATCAAAGGTATCTTTCTGTTTGTGAGTCCAATTCCATTCAGCTTTCTTGTGTGTTAGACGGCACAGTGGCTCACACAGTTCTGATAGGTCTTGTAGGAACTTAGACAGATACTTCACAAGCCCAAAGAATCTCTGCCGGTCGCTCCATCTTAATTATTGCTTTGACTTTTTTAGGATCTTCTTTAAGCCCATTCCTTGTCACTACATCCCCGATAAATGACACGTCACTGCACTTTAAATGGAACTTCTCCTTGTTCAGCTTGATATTTGTTGCTCTGCAACGATCGAGGAGGTTCGTCAGATTTTGGTTGTGGTCACGGTCAGCCTTTTCATCAGTGTCCACCATTCCAATGATAAGTAGCAGCACCTAATAAAATTAATGTGTGGACAGCAAGTTCTACTAACCTCTTCTAGTCCTGCTACATGTGCTAGGTCGTCTGTGAATTCAAGCTTGGTAAGATCTCGCATACAGTAGGTTGTCTTCTGCTCTGACTACGCTGATTCGGTAGACCTCACTTATTTAGTCTGTTGAGGAACAGATTCAGAAAGTAGTTTAGCACAATAATGAAATAACAGGAGCAAGGTTGTAACCTTAGTACCTTGCTGTCTCATCAAAGAATGTGGTTTCTTCTCAGGACCAATTGAGTAGTCTCAGTTTCCTCATATAGTGACTTTACCTCAGCAGCAATTGGTTAAAGTTGAAGTGGAAGTGTGTCAGACATTTCTTACCTGCTTACGTGTTCAACACTTTCCTGCCTACGTTTTCTACCTCACGTTATTAATAAACCTCTTTATTATAGACTCGATCTTATTTTGCAAGAAAACATATTCCAGTTTAGCAAACAATTTAACCCTTGCCTTGGCAGGGCTAAATGGCAGAAAGATGACCACTGCTTTTTTTTAATCTTGTGTTCTCTTAAAGGAACTCAAGTTCAGATGAATGTAAGAGGTTTCTTGATAGGCAAATAAGTTCTGCTCTATTATATTGAATTCACAGCTGCTATGTTAGAAAAACATTTTCCATACTGCAAGAGTAGTGTAGGATATTACAAGAGACAGTACCCTACAGGAAGTTCTTTTTATAGGTCTATGACTGGAAAAAGTTTGATGTTTTTGGATCCCTAGTCAATTATGGGAGGTGTTCACTTACAATGTACAAGAGTTGGTTTCAGATGGAACTTATCATTATCAGTTATGTTATGGGGAAGGGAGGTAAGAGGCTGGGTATTTTGATTTTATCAAACACAAAATGCAGGTTCCATGTTTACTACATTTAGGGGTGGGTCTAGAGGTGGGAATTTTCAGCCACAGGTGGATAAGTCACTTTTTTACCCCATTCTCAAATGCTTCATCCCACCAACCCCATACTTAATACCTGCCCAATGAAGTATCAACAGGTCCTAATGTTGATCCATTATCTTTGCAGATTTTGTACCTAAAGATGCTCTGTTCAGAAGGGAGGTCAGGGTTTCCATGGACAGAACCCTGTCACAGAACAATATTTTCACAAATTAAGGAACTAGAAAAGGAAAACAGTTGCGTCATGATATTTGGTTCAGTAAATCAACGTTTTGTAGTATTGATATTAACATTAGGAAAGAGAGGATAAGGGTAGGGATCAAATCATAAAGATCTGTAAATGTTGTATACGATGGTAGGCAGTCAAAAGGAAAATTGTATCTTTTGATTAAATGTTGGGTTCCTCATAAGAGTCAGGTAATTTTCAAAGATACGCGATAACATTGCAACCAGCTTTTATTAAACTGCTCCAAATTCAAGATGGCATTTTTCCTGAAAAATAAATTTATGGGCGTGATTTCTTAAATTTCTGTCATTTATCATTCATTATTAAATCAAGTGTCAAAAAATAAACACACTTAAGGAAATAATTCATACGGCTGGGATATTTGCTCTCATAACCTTTAATCCTGGGAGAGATTTTACATGAAATGGTACTAATTCGGAAGTCAAATGCTAGGTGCTTTCCTTTTTTATTTGCTAGCAATTTTGACTGGTTTGAGATATTTTCGTGATATTTCACTCTGAAATTTGTATCCTACCCATAAATGTCAACCATAAAAAATTTTCCTATTATGGTTTATCATAGTGTCTAGGATATAAAGGATATTGGAGTGTCATAGAATGATTTATGATAGCTTCTACGTGGAAACCTGGACTTAAGTGAGTTTTTTAAGTTCTTACCTTAATTTCATTCAACAGGAATGTTACCTAAGCCCAAGTAAAATAAATAACTAGGTTTAAGGTTACCTAATAGTTCCAGGGTTGTCGCTAAGATTTCAAGTTGCCGGTTAAATATCACACAAGTAGGCGGGGATCAAACGGCTAGGGATTTCTTTTGATTCTATTTTTCTGCTATTTTCGTATGAAAGTAGCTGGGGACCACATTCATAGTAGCCGGAGGAGATCCCCAGCCCCCCGGCTCCTAATGACAGCCCAGCCAATACACTGTAAGCATTAACTATTATTATCATTATGTACTTGGGATGGATTCCTTCAATTTAGATCTTAGGCGGGGTTCTCCCTCGTCTTCAGTGCATGGTATAAAGCAACTAAAAGAAACGTGCAAAATTAAGTGCTCATTAGTATGGTCCGATTGTATTTTATAAATTGGTATTTTTTGTATAACGTCTCTTCAGCAGTTGTGCATGTGTTGCTATTATTTCTACGTATCTCCATCACAAAGGCTGGTGAAATCACATACCAAACATAATGTTTTAACTTACTGGGAAAATGGCATATCACATGGATTTTTTTTTCAGCTATAAACTGAAAATTTAAAAGAGAATAGCATTCTTTGAATGAACAGATCTTCACCTTTTCCTGAATCAATTGTCCTCCTCTCATACTTACAGTATCTGAATGTTTGCTTTGAGATGCTAACCTGTGGGGAATGTTATCTCTGTTGCACTTCCTTTTCTCTCAGAGTACAGGGGTATCAAGACATGCATGAGAAAGGAACGATTTTATATTAAGCCTATGGAAGGGTTAAAAGCATGCAGTTTTTTCAATGATGTATAAACTGACCCAGAGCCAGTTTTGTATGGGTTAACTAGTTGCTTATATATTCATCTATAACTGGGGGTTTGACAGTGCCTGTGGGGATGGCCATTGTATTCTAACAAGTTCATCCACCCTTAAATAGGTCCCCCTGCGTGCCCTCGTACTCTGCTTGACCACAGGCTGTACGTTGGTGGGGAAGCTAAGGTAGCACTGACTTTATAGGCCACATTTATATGAAGAAAAATTGTCCCTGGAAAAAGGGTCTTTCTTCCTTTAGCGATCAATTTTATGAGAATAAAACTGACCCCTTTCCCAAAGCTAACAGCACGCGCGCAGGCTCTGATTGTCTAAAACAGCGAGCGCACATGCTTTCAAAGTGTTTGTGTGGAGAAACGTTGGCCCCCTTCCATTGAAAGGGTGATCGGTCTAGGCGCGGCACCCTTCTAGACGAGCGTAAATGTATGAAACGTTGGCGCTCAGGGCGGCTAAACCCTTATACCCCGGGCAACGTTTCTACATATAAACGAGGCCTTAAATGGCTTACCGGTAATATGTATCGTGACCTGACCTGACCTGACCTAAATATTGACTTTCCCAGTTTATACCAGGAATAAACGGCCCTAGCGTTTGAATCATTGGGGTAATCCGTTGTCCATGTACAAAGTGCATCAAAAGCTGTGCCTCTTTATTTAAGTAGTATAGTAAGGACCGAATTGACCTCTCTTTGGGAAGAATCTCAAAGAAGAGAAGGCATACACTATGGGAATCGTGCATAGTCATGAAGACGAAAGCAAAAAAATGTAATATACGCCACTTCCAAATTTCCCATAATGCCCCTTACTTGCCCCGAAAAAAAATTGCATAACCTTTGTTTTTCTTTTCTCCTGGGTATTACAGCCGTCCCAAGAGAAATTGAAAAAAGTGCTTATGCAAAATTTGGGGGGGCAAATATGGTGCATTATGGGATATGTGGAAGTGGCATATAGCTCGAAACGCGATATTTTACTCTTCATCCGCCATTTCCACATCTCCCATAACACGCCTTGTTTGCCCCCAATATTTTTCCATAACCGTTGCACTTTCTTTCCCCTGTGTATTACAGTCGTCCCAAGAGAAATTAAAGACTGCTTATGCAAAACAAAGTCTATTATAGAAGGTGTGAAAATGGCGAATTCTCCCTTTTAGCTTTTTCACTTTTCTACTGTTTACGAAAAGGCAAATTTGACAAGAATTTATAAAATATTTAAAACCCTGGCTCTAATTAAAACGTGATGAAAAAAGAGGCATGTCGATAATGGTGGGTCTTACGAAAATGACATATTTTGCGAAATTGGCGAATTTGGCAAGGATTCATCAAAGGTCTGGCAAAAAATTTAAGGCCTCTTGGCTGCTGGCAATTTTAACGAAAATGGCAAGAACCCATCAAAGGTTTTGCAAAACCTCAAATGAGGTGACAAAGAGGGAAATGGCGATTATAAGAAAACGGCAAATTTTGGGCGAAAAAGGGAAATTTCGGCAAAAATGGCGAGTATGCGAGAAAGTCATCAAGGCTTCTGCCAAATATTCAAATAAGATGACAAAAAGGTGCATCTTGACCAATGGCGATTTTACGAAAATTACAAATTTGACAAGAATTTATAGGTTTGGCAAAAATTAAAACACGATGACCAAAAAGGCACGTCGATAATTGTGGGTTTTACGAAAATGACAAATTTTGCGAAATTGGCGAATTTGGATTTATCAAAGGTCTGGCAAAAATTTTAAATGAGACCACAACAGAGGCATTGTTGGTTTGCAACCACGAGACAAGGCGGCCATGTTGGGAGTCAATACAATATAATTTTTCTCAAAGAATTAACATGAAAATAGAGTTTGGTTCCCAGAGGAGAGAAATGCTTTTGTTCTTGACCACCAACATGGCCGCCGTGACTTCAAGTGCAAACCAGCAATATTGACAGTTGGCGATTTCACGAAATTGGCGAATTGAGAAAATGGGGGATCGGGGAAGAATCCATCAAAGGTTTGGCAAAAACTCAAATGAGATGATAAAGAGGGGAATCCTGACAAATGGCGATTATAAGAAAATGGCAAATTTAGGCCAAAAAGGCAAAAATCGGCAAAAATGGAGAGTTCAAGGGTTTGGCCAAATGCAAATGAGATAACAAAAAGGGGCATCTTGACAAATGGCGATTTTACGAAAATGACAAATGTGGAAAAAAATTATTTCCGGTTTGGCAAAAATTAAAACAAGATGACAAAAGAGGCATGTCGATAATTGTGGGCTTTACGAAAATGACATATTTTGCGAAACCGGTGAATTTGGCAAGGATTGACACAATGAGATAACAAAACAGGCATATTGACAGTTGACGATTTTCGCAAAAATGGCAAATTTGAGAAAATGGAGAATTGATCGAGCAAGAATCCATCCATGATCTGGCATGGCCATTTTAAGGACAATGACAAATTTTGCGAAGATGGCGAATTTGATAGCAAAACTGACATTTGTCAGGTTTTTGCCCAAATGAGCAAAAGCGATCGAAGATGAATTTTTGAACGCTTTTGTTCCCTATAGCAAATGCGGTCAAGTAGTAATTTCCCACCTTTTTGCTTAACGTAGTAAAAGTGACCAAAACTCATTTTTGAACAGTTTTGCCCAGGATAGTAAATCTGAGCAAAAAAATCATCATATTTGTGTTTCGCTCAGTGTAGTAAAATGAGGTCAAATTATCACTTCTTCCGTATCTTTGCTCAGTGTGGCAAATATGATCAAAATAGTCGTTTACCACTCTTTTGCTCAGGGTAGCAAAAGAGTGACAAAAGGTAAATTTCGATAAATATGGCGAGTGTGCCAAAAATTCATCAAGGGTTTGACCAAATATTCAAATGAGATGACAAAAAGGGGCATGTTGATAGCTGGCGATTTTAAGGACAATGACAAATTTTGCGAGGGTGGCGAATTTGGCAAAAAGTTATCAAAGGTTTGACAGGAATTTACTAAGAAAAAAGGGGCATCTTGACAAATGGCGATTATAACAAACATGGCAAATTGGGCAACAATTCATTTAAGGTTTGTCAAAGTTCAAATGAGATGACAAATGAGGCATGTCGATAATTGTGAGTTTTGCGAAAATGCTAAATTTGACAAGAATTTATAAAAGGATTGATAAAACTTAAAACAAGATGACGA